CCCAAATAACAGAGCACTAAACCAATACATACTCAAATAATAGAACACTGAACCCATACATACTCAAATAATAGAACACTGAACCCATACATACCCAAATAACAGAGCACTGAACCCATCCCATACATACCCAAATAACAGAGCACTGAACCAATACATACTCGAATAATAGAGCACTGAACCCATACATACCCAAATAACAGAGCACTGAACCAATACATACTCAAATAATAGAACACTGAACCCATATATACCCAAATAATAGAACGCTGAACCCATATATACCCAAATAACAGAGCACTGAACCAATACATACCCAAATAATAGAGCACTGAACCAATACATACCCAAATAATAGAACAGTAAACTCATATATACCCAAATGATAGAACACTGAACCCATATATACCCAAATAATAGAACACTGAACCCATATATACACCCAAATAACAGAGCACTGAACCAATACATACTCAAATAATAGAACACTGAACTCATATATACCCAAATAATAGAACACTGAACCCATACATACTCGAATAACAGAGCACTGAACCAATACATACTCTAATAATAGAACACTGAACTCATATATACCCAAATAATAGAACACTGAACCCATATATACCCAAATAACAGAGCACTGAACCAATACATACTCAAATAATAGAACACTGAACTCATATATACCCAAATAATAGAACACTGAACCCATACATACTCGAATAACAGAGCACTGAACCCATACATGTACATACCCAAATAATAGAGCACTGAACAAATATATACCCAAATAACAGAGCACTGAACCCATACATACCCAAATAACAGAGAACTAAACCAATACATACTCAAATAATAGAGCACTGAACCCATACATACCCAAATAACAGAGCACTGAACCAATACATACTCGAATAATAGAGCACTGAACCCATACATACCCAAATAACAGAGCACTGAACAAATATATACCCAAATAACAGAGCACTGAACCCATACATACCCAAATAACAGAGCACTGAACAAATATATACCCAAATAACAGAGCAATGAACCCATACATACCCAAATAACAGAGCACTGAACCAATACATACTCGAATAATAGAACACTGAACCAATACATACTCGAATAATAGAACACTGAACCAATACATACTCGAATAATAGAACACTGAACCCATATATACCCAAATAACAGAGCACTGAACCCATACATACCCAAATAATAGAACACTGAACCCATATGTATATCCAAATAACAGAGCACTGAACCAATACATACTCAAATAATAGCACACTGAACCCATATATACCCAAATAATAGCACACTGAGCCCATATATACCCAAATAATAAAGCACTGAACCCATACATACCCCAATAATAAAGCACTGAACCCATATATACCCAAATCATAGAGGAATGAAACCCATACATACCTAATAGAGCACTAATCCCATACATACATGTACCTAAGTAATATGGGAAATGAACCCATATATACATGTACCCTAATTATAGAGCACTGAACCCATACATAAGTATCTAAATAACCCATTCATATATCAATGATTAGGCACAAGAAACATGTTTTTAATTGCATTTCAAATTGAATGTTTTTAAAATTGTACTTTGTAATTGACTAAAGAAATAAATTAAAAAAATTGTGATTTGCACATTTAAAACTGACACATGCATAATCAGAAATAAGAAACCTGAACAATAAGGGTTACAAACAAGGAACTGATGAAATGATTCAAAAGTTAAAAAACTTGGTTTTTAAGTTCACAAAATTGTGTTGTTATTTTACATGTTTACATGATTTCAGTTTAGCAGATTTTATTTATCAACAAAAAATAAAACCCAGTGAATATTTAATGCATTCACTTTTCATTTTGTCTTTACTTAAACATAGAAGGTAGCCCAACTTCCATAGGAATCTCGTTTTAGGGCAAGTTCTAGTCAGCCTATGGTAATAGTTTTGATGAGAATATCAAAAACCTCTTTTGACTAGATGTCATTCTCCTAACTACAAATGTTATAAGGCAAAACACTTTGAACTGTGTGTGTATGCAGCCATGATTTGAGTTTCATTACGTGCTTACAAAGACAACTAATGGCACAGTTCTAGACTGTCTTACATCATGTGTTACATTATATGGCATATTTACATAGAGTCAATGAACACAGAATCATTTAGGTTTTAACTGAGACCTAAAAACAAGTTATTTAAAATGGCACAGTCCTGTTTTCAAATTGATTTTTATGAGCTAAATACCAGACATTCCAAAGAAAATGGTGGAGTACAATGTTTTTGTGAAAAAAAAACAATTTCATGCAATTACAGAAAGAAGCAATGACCTATTAAATGTATCAATTGACATTTGTTAGTATAATGGTATGTCAGAAAATATCATATGATATACTGTAAAATACTTTATTTTCACTTGGAATTAATTTTTGCTATTTTTACCGAACAGCTATATATTTGCTATAATTGTGAAAAAAAATAAATGACCACCAGTAATCAGAAGGTCACTTGTCAAAAACAAGTTTTTAAAACTAAGTTTTATGCTGCATTTAAGATGGCGCCCCCCCATATAGTAAATATCGCACTTATTTTATTATCACGTGTGTGCCTATATTTTACACCTGAGAAGTCATTCCAGTGAAAATAAAGTATTTTACAGTATTAGATATGATACAGACTGAACCAGTTCACCTTTTTATGTATTTGTACCAAATTCAGAATAATTGTGAAAAAAAATAAATGCCCACCAGTAATCAGAAGGTCAATTGTCGAAAACAAGTTTTAATGAAATCGGTTACCAGTAGATCAAAGATCAACGGAAACAAAACCCATTATGACTTACATTTGGACTAATGGTGTGGACATGACTGAAAAATAATTGCACACATGTACAAATGGAACGTAAAACACAAGTCCTGTTTCAAGACTAAAAAATGCTTATGGTTAGGATGCGAGGCAATTTTTTCCCCCCACTTATTTAACCACTGAACATCGCCCTCTGTTGGCGAATTGATTAAAAACCTGCAAAATTT